CCCCCCCCCCCCCCCCCGGCCCCCATGCACCCGCGTGGCTGGCACCTTGGTGGACAGTGATGCCATCGTATACGGTGACAGCGCCTGCCGGTGTGAAGTCTCGCGAGAAGGCTGTGCTCTCAATGCAGTGGTTGTCGCGGTCATCCGCCGACCGCCAAAACCAAAACTCCAACGCATCCGTCACGTAATTGTCACCAAACACCTAAACGCACAGACAGACAGACAGACACAACCAGCCAGCCAGCCAGCCAGCCGTCGACCGATTTAAATTCGCTTCATGTCCATCTATCTATCCTCCAAGGGCAGCTCACGCACTGACTGACTCACCAAGTACTTCTGAGAGCATGGGCAGAAGAGAGTGGGGCCTGCAGAGACAGACAGACACACAGCACGACACAGACAGCACATACACAGACAGGCTGTGTTTGACTTGGCCACAAACAGGCGCAAAGGGCCTGCCACTGTTGGGCCTGCCCTGCTGGCCAGTTGACCGACCCATTTGGTGTGTCATGTCTTGTATGGCGATTTGCACATTGACGGTCTCCCCGACGCCCCTCTCGCTTCTCAGCGAATCCACTGTGTCGCGGTGCAGCGGCTGAGATCCGGTCGTACGCGCAGGGGCAAAGATGGCACTGACGACAGACAAGCCACAGAGCACAAGGAGACGGTCTGTCTGTCTGTGTGTCTGTGCGTCAGTCACCTGGGGTAGTCAAGAACGGGTCCTTGTGGGTCTGGCTGCAGGTATCCCTTGATCACTTGGGGGATGACCGTCCTGTTGGCGAAGGTGGCAGCCAGACGCATGAACGGCTCCACGTAAGGCAGCCACATCTCGTAACGGTTGTTCCTGACCACGGACGGATGGACGGATGGATGGACGGACGGAAACAAAATGCGGCCGTTCGTGCCTGCCTGTCGCTTGTCTGTCTGTCTGTCTGTCTGTCTGTCCGCCTGTCCGCCTGTCTCACCAGAGGTTCATGTTTTGGAAGTGTTTGAGAGGGATTTGGTTGACCTTGCCTGCCTTCTCGAGCTGTCCGATGGCAGCGTGGATCTCCCGCGCATAAGCTGAAGGGAAGTAGTTGACGAGCGACACGAGGCCGCAGGTGCGGAGGGTCTGCAGCAAGTCCTCTACCGTTGGCTGCGGCTCCTTGCTGAAGTCGAATGTGAGTCTCGATATGTCGGTGCACTCCTTGGCGCAGGTGAGGTACTCTTCCAGGTCGGCAGGGAGGGCCGACAGGTCCAGGTTGCCCTTGATGATGGCATTCTCCGTCTCGTTCTGCTGCGAGTCCACCACCTTGACAGTCGTCTCGTTGTCGGCTTGCTGCGTCTGGAGCTTGAGTCTGTCTGCCTTGAGCTGGCGCTTCTTGAACCGCCCCAAAGCGATGTCGGCCCAGGGGTCCTGGATGGACACACCCAGGAGGCTCCCCAACTCGGCCTTTTCGCAGTACGCCTGGCAGTCGGCGTACGCAAGCAAATCAAGCTCGTTGGACGCTGCCACCTCAACGTACCTGACACACACACAAGGGTGGGTGGGTGGGTGAAACGCACAGACGAACATATAGGGAGGAAGGCTGGCCTCCTGCCTGCCTCTCTCCCTCCCTGCCTGCCTCACTGTTGGGGGCTGGTTTTCTGCAGTTTTGATTTGAATCGTTCCTCCTGGTCGGCGGTCATTTCCTCGGCGCACTCCTTGAAGCACGAGAGCTTGGCCTTGAGGCCGTCGGGCATGTTGTCCACGGGCGCATCCTTCCATGACTTGAGCAGATCGGCCGCTGACTCACGCCGCCGTGACGAACCCATCCTTGGAAGGATGGAAGTTGGACCCGTCGATGAGCGGGTGAACAACACCGCCGCCCCGATGGCCATGAGTGCAATCGCCGCTGCGACCACAGGCATCACATACCCCATGCCGCCGCCCTTCTTCTTGGCTCGAGGGGGCATCTTGGGAGCCTCTTTTGGCTGCGGGTGGGCCCCTGTCCCGCCCTTCTTGGCCATCCCCTCGTCGCTGCAGACACCGTCACACCACACAACAAATCAACGAATGGGTGACAGTCTTCATGAATCGTTCTCCCTTCGCTGCATCGGAGTGCGTGCCCTACCTTCGTGAACGCGGATTGAGTCCTTTGCCGAAGAGGGAAGGGATTGCGAGCTCAAAACGATGGATGAGAAATGAGCAAGGATGAATCCTAGTCGAAAGTCGGTGCGCATTCAGGGTCTGAAGGAGCGGCCGAGGGCGATACACGTGTCAGAGCAGTTCAAGCGCCTATTCTACACTTCCAAGCCGCAGGCGGTCGAACGAATCTGTAAGTGAGTGATGGCTGCATCTCTAGCTGTCTGAATCTGTCCATCCTTTCATTCATCTGTCTGCTGCCTGCACTGCAGGTGGCAGGACTCTTGAGTTGGTCCACCGCACGCCAAACATCTATGCGTGCGATGAGTTCCTGACGGAAAGGTAAGGTCAGCAGGGAGGGATACATATCAGTAGAACAGAGGTCGGGCACACACCTGATCCCGTGTATGGCTGCAGCGAGCTGTCGTACATCGCCCAGTACTACAGTCAGCATCACGATGAGTTCCAGCGGAGCTTCACGCAAGACCTAGAGAACGAGGAGGTCAGGTCGGGGGCACCACACCCTGAACACACGCCACTAGTTGCGCGGACGGACGGACGGATCTTGTGTGTGTGTGTGTGTGTGTGTGTGTGTACATGCATGTACCATCAGTTGGTGTATGATGAGTGCCGCACGTCCACCTACACTCACCTGCCAAAGTGCGGCAGCACCGTTATCCGCAACATTGAGAGGTCAGTTGAATGAACCACAGGAGAGGGCGCACACAGATTGATTGGGGTGCTGGGCCGGCCATCCCATCCACCAGCACACTGTCGATGCACACACACATACGTACACACAGAGACACACTGAGCCCAAGTTGCAGGTACCTGCAGGTGACACTGTTGTCTGTCGTGTGATGTGTGGTGTGGTCAGGAGGGCGGCTGATTGCGTTGGTCTGCCACACGAGAATGTCGAGCCACTGCAGCTCCTCTCATACGCCCCGGGGCAGGTAAGTAAGTCGAGAAAGACGCACCACACACCACGCCACAGACAGACAGACAGACAGACAGCTCAATCAACACAACCCGTTTGGCATTTATTCAAATGTGTTTCTCCCTTTGCTGTGTTGTGTTGTGTTGTGCTGTGTTGTGTTGTGTCGCGGGTGAATTGGTTGTTTGGTTGCATGGCATGGCATGCAGTATTTCGATATTCATCATGACGCAGGTCGTCTGGAGGGAGATGTAGACGCCGTAGGTCTGAAGCTTCCGGGGGCCGCGTCTGGGGGCAGAAGCCGCGAGGACTTCCAGGACAGCCCACCTGACATCCGTGTAGTCATGCCCGACGCATTTGCTGAGGAGCCCAGGAGGATCCTCACTGCATTCGTGGTAGGCAGGCAGGTCTGCGGGCTGGGCTGGCCTTGCAGCGTCTATGCATGACTACCTACGTACCTACCCACCTACCTACAACTTGACTCATACCATACACGTGCAATGTGTGTGTATGTGTGTGTGTGTGGGTCAGTACCTGACGTCCCTGCCTGATTCGGCTGGCGGTGAGACGGATTTCCCGCTCATCAACCAGCGGTTCCATCCACGGCGCGGCCGGGCACTCTTCTGGAGCAACCTATTCCCCGACGGGACTGCAGGTAGGCACCTACCTGGCTGGGTGGCCGTGGGAAGGCTGGCTGGCTGGCTGGGTGGGTGGGTGGGCGATGGACACACACACACGCAGTGCATGCACGTACGTATGTACCATACGATTGAAAGGCTTGAAACACACAGAAGCCCTCCCTTGTTTCGTGTGTGTGCAGATCCCAGAGTGGTGCATCAAGCGCGGCCGACGCTGGATGGGCACAGAAAGATGGGCATGAATGTGTGGATCACAGGTGAGGGAGCAAGTGGGGCAATGGACTGAGTGACAGACATGGGGCGGGAGAGAGGGAGTGAGACAGGGAGAGAGAGGGGCAAGGCAACGTGAAGCGTCACTGACTTGAGGGCCAACGGGTTCTGTCTGTGTGTTTGGCTGGCTGGCTGGCAGATACTCCGCAGACGGCACTCGTTGGCACTGTGTCTCAGCCATCACGCCAAGAACATGGCACGCATACCACGTACGAAAGAAAGGCAGGCAGGGAGGGACGCAGCCAGCCCCTTTTCCTCCCTCATCACAGGCCTCAGTCAGAGCATGTCTGTCTCTTTGTCTCTTTGTTCCCCCCCTCTCTCCCTCCCTATCCTTGGCTTGTTGGATGCACCCCATCCATGCATCCACATGTATGTATGTATGTATGAATGTCAGCGTGAGGGCCTGTTCGCTGTCCCAGGCGCACCGACCCATCAGTGCGGGTGAGAGGGTGTGCTGTGTCTGCTATGGCCTGCTAGCCGCGCGCAAGTCACGCTCGTTGCCTCCATCCGCCGCTCGCAAAGGGCCCGCCAAAGCAGCTCTTGAATGCCGAAGCGACGGATGTATGCAGGTCAGTCAGTCAGAGACAGGCATCAAGGCAGGCAGGAAGGAAGGAAGAACGCCCGACGAGACTGTCCCCTCCCTCCCGAGAAAGCCAGCGAGTCAGTGGGTCAGCGATTGTTAGTGTGTATTTATTTCATTGATTCATTCATTCAGGGCATCCATGTCAGCTGTGCAGAACGGGCAGGTCAGCGAGCAGCCATCTTAAGCTGGCCGGGAGGGAAGGCATGGTTTCATCGACTCTGCCGGGTGTGTGGTGTTTGTAGGCCGCGGTGGCGAATCCAGTATCTTATGCTGGCGGTGTGGGGATGCGCTAGTTGCCATGCAGTGACTGAGTGAGGGAATCGGCGAGAATGACTGACTGACTGACTGAGGGTGGGTGAATGGGTGGCTGATGGATTGATGGATGGACGGGTGTCGAAACGTGGATATCATGTCGGAGGAAGGAGCGATGGACTTGGGTGTCTGCCTGGGCCTTGTGAATATGTATGTCCGATCCCTTCATTCATCGATCAACCAACTAACTGCACACGCCTTTTGGCACATGTACGTACATCCACACGCACACACACACACGTCCGTCCGTCAGTCATAGGTCCAGACATAGACATAGCCATCCTGTTTGTTTCCTCTCCGGCTCCGGTAGCATGCGCTGCTGTCTTGGCTTCTTGGCTCCAGTGGAGCGGGAGGGTGCTTCCCGCCATTGGTCAGGGTACCAGACGGGTATGTGCCAGCACCTCCTCCCCTCGACCTTCTGCGGCTCGCGGGAAAAGGTGGGCGGCCATTGCACGTGAAAGTCGGGCCTGCGGGAGAGGGATTGGGGGTCCAGATCTGGGAGGGAGGGACCCATACACACATACACACAGATACACAGATACACAGATACACATATACACAGATACACAGACGACCCCTGGTCCTTACGTGAGATAGGTCGCTCAAAGTCGAAATTAATGAGCGTCGAGGACCGCCACCGACGAAACGCTCGGGGCTCTACAGAAGGAGGCGGGCACAACATGAAGGGAAACACACGTTGCAGACAGACCATCTTGGCAGGCATGCAGGCAGGCCCTCCCTCGCTCCCTCCCTCGCTAGTTCCTTCCCTTGTTGGCATGTGTGGGTGGGTGCCACCTGACCTAGCATGGTGAGGTGATGGTCTCTGAGGAGGTCGTTGGTGACAATATAGACAGGCGGGTGGTTTCGCCCGATGGTGCTGACGGCCGTCTCACCCCCGGCCCCACCGCCCTCACCCCGACTGGCTCGATAGTCGTCCAGCCTCCTGAGGAACTGAGCCTTCATGTTGTTGGGCACCGACTCATGCAGAAGGGTCGTGTCCTCCATCAGCGTCGCCAGTATCCAGTAGTAATCATCGTGCGCCTGCAAAGCAAACACCAGCAGTTGCATCGCAACCAACAGGGAGGGATATAGTGACACACAGCACCTAGCTCGCGATTCATTCTTTCCCCCTGTGGCTGCAGTGCGATGCGGTGCCATGGTACCTTGAAGTTGCATACGAATAGGCATCCCTCGTCCTCCCACTTCTTGACCAGCTCCTTGTCCTCAGGCGCAAGTACGTCCCAATTCACCGTACGCTCGCTGTACACCTCCCTGGTCAGCGAGACAGACAGACAGACAGACAAACGGGCAGCCAAGTCAACCATACTCACATACGCGGACGGACACGTATCATGATGCTTCACGCAAGCCAAGTGGGACTCCTGACGCACTCACTGCCGGCTGGCCTGTCTGTCTGTCTGTCTGTCTCCTGGTTGTTGCGTTCCTCCCTCCCTCCCTGTAGGGGTAGTAAATACATACATACAGTCCGGTTTGTGTGTCCCTACCTTGCGAGTGTGCGAATTGTGCCTTTGGAGCAGTTGGGGACTTTGACCCTGTCCCAGTAATAGTGCCTGGGGAGGACGATAAGCGGCCGCTCGCCTCGCCGCACGAGCTCCTCCTTAACCATCTCAATCTGCAGGTAGCTGAAGTGACCCCTATTCGTGTTCTGGCGCTGGTACGCTATGTTGGGCGCATCCAATATCATCGTAAACGGACCGCGGCTGCACACAACACGATGGATGGACACATTCATACGCCACGTCACATCATACCCATCAATCTGCCTGTAAGTGTGTGTCCCCTAAGATGGATGTGCGACAGTGTGCATCCAGGCCTTGCTGGGTGGCTGATGTGACCTCATGAGGAATCTCCTGAATATCTCGAGTCCGCAGACCTCCTTGGGATGGCTGAGCGCGGCGAGTTTGAGCACTGCCAGCCTTAGTCGCCGTCCCTCCCTCGAGTCCAATCGCACCGTTTCCAGCCTCTCGCCACACGCAGGACACCAGCCATCTTCGATCGACACTATCCTCGCTGCCGCCCGTGGGGGGGGCTCTTGCCCTCCTGTTGATGTAGCTCCTTCTCGTGGGGCGGTAGGGGCAAGCTCACGCACAAAGTCCTCCGCCACCCGTACGTGAAGGTCGGATGTCTCCTCGATCAGAAGATTCATCAGAAAGTTGACTCGTTCCTGCCACAAAGCGTCGCCGCTGAACAGCAGCCCGTGATCTTTGAGAGTCCGCAGGGTAAGAAGAATCTCCTCGTGAGCTGAATGAGTGAATGAATCAAACACACACACACACACGCACACAGACCACCACTCATGAGCGAATCGCCCTCTCAGCCCCGTGTTTGTCTGGCTCACCCGGGAAGAGAGCTTGGTGCTTCATGTGCTGCAGTAAATCGAATATTCCGTCCAAGTCACCCTGACTGCACAGCCCTTCTAAGATGGGATTGTATGTTCGCAGCTTCGGCGCTATTCCCTTGACCAAGAAAGAAAGGACGGGCAGAAACGAACGCATCCATCAGGCACGACACACGATAGATAATGGATGGCATGAGGCTTTGTGACCCCCGGCCCGCATCGAATACCTGTTGGATCATGGAAAGGGCGATCTGGAATGCCTCTTTGAGCTGGCTGTTCTTGGCATAGGCGCGTATGAGAGCGACATAGTCGGGCTCGGTGAGGTCCAGATTGGCATTGACCATCTTGGAGTACACTGTAAGGGTCCTCGTGATGTCGTGGTCCAGCGCACACACATTCAGCAACACGGTGTAGCAGTCCCGATTGACGTTCAAGTGCACCCTGTCGCCGACGCGCTTCACGCGAGACTCCTCGTACCGCTCGAGCAGCTCCATCGCCCCGTCAATGTCACCATTCCGGGCCAACCGGATAATTTCAGGCACATACTGAGGCTGCCGCTCGTCTGGTGCCCGTGAGGCTCCCCCATCTGCCCGCTTCTGCACACTTGGCGCCGCTTCGCTTCGGACCTTCCGAAACGATAGTGCGGGCTCTGTCGAGATTGTCGGATCTCGCCGCTCCCGGGGAGTTGCCGTCGATGCCGCGAGTCCGGACTCTTGGCCGTTGAAGGGAGCTTGCCTGCAGTGTGCCTCTCGACTAGCGGTACGATCCTCCTCGGAGGCGGGAGAGAAGCCCTCATCAAAAGAGGCCGACGTGACGCCGAAGGCATCGTCAACGGTGAGGTAAGACACCAGGTCATCGTCGCTCTCTGCTGGCCAGTCCCTCCCGTCGCGTGGGTAGACACGGCCGGTCGCATCATCATCGCCACTAGTCTCCTTCAGGGCACCATCGACAGTCTCTCTCCATGATGACACAGACACTCGCTGCAGTCTTGTGGCGGAATGCAGCCTTCGCCTTCTCTTCAAGGGCAGCACAACAGGCACAGGAACAAACGATGACGCACCGTTGATCCAGACGATGTAACTCATGAAATGCTGCACCGCAACAGTGCTCCACAGCGCCATGGAGTCCATATTCACAACGGCGATGAAGATCTCGCTGCGAGGCAAGCTTGCAGATGTGCGAGCTCTTTTGCAACAGCGGAAGGCAAGGTAAGCAGCACACCAAACCGTCTGCTGCACGTGTTTGCATTGAAATTCTCACTTGTGTTATTGATTTGTTGTGTGCAGATCTCTATTCGGTCCAGTGCTCACTGAGGAGAAAGTCAATGAAGGTCAGGTTCAGTGTCATATCCTTTGTCCCTCCAGGTCAGATCTGATGGATATGGATGCATGCACTGCTGATTGCCCATGGTGTCTGTCATCTGTCTGTGGTTGAGAGCAGGGACTTCGATTGCGGTTGTGGGGTCGCTGCCTGAGCTTGGCAGGTGAGCGATTATGCACGACGACGACATGCATTGCATGAGGCGGCAATGATGCCGTATGTATGACCGTCATGTGGTGAAACATGTGCTGTGTTGGAATCCCCCCGTCCGGGCCGCAAGTGCAGCTGGAAGGTGTCGGAGTGTCCGTCCATGTCGCCATCGTCGCCTCCCAAGAGCATGGAGCCGTCGTTCTGGTCTGCTGATATCGCCGTCGACGACCTAAGCGTACCCTTCGAGTACAAGTTCGTGCGCAAAACAAATCCAAGTAGCCACCAAACACGGACTGACTGACGGATAGAGTGTGCCATTCGGTGTCTGTCTGTCTGTCTGTCACCAGGCGCCAATTGGGAGTGGGAGGGCTATGGGAGCCATGACAACCGGAAATGGGATGGCAAGGAGATGCTGTCCACGCCAGCAAGTGAACAAGGTACGAGGAAAAAGAAGCGGACAGGTACATGGCTGGCTGCAATGAGTGCGTGCTGCACATGTATGTATTCGATTGCCCTTGTGCCCGGGCGGGCCGGGCCTGCTCGTGTGTGTGCAGATGTGAAGGTTTTTGATGGTGTTTTCCTGCTGCCGCCGACCCACTTCATGGAAAGTCAGGGCATGAGCGAATACAGTCACACAACGAGGTTCTACAACAGTGTCAAGGTAATGGACACACACACACACACACAAAACACACACACAAAACACACGCGCTCACATGGAGAGGGAGAGGACAGATGTGTGGTGTGTGGGTGTCGTTGCGTGCAGGAGAGAAATGACATGCACTACAATCGTGTGAGTGATAACCTGTGGGTAGGCAGCTGCCCTCGAAGCCGCCGGCATATCGAGAAGCTACGAGATGAGCTGAAAGTCACCTGCCTGCTCAACTTTCAGACCCATGAAGGTAGGCCGGCAGGCAAGCCACTCGAACAGCTGGACGGCGAGGACGGAATGGATGTCAACCCTTGTTTGTGCTGACTGACGGCCCTATCAATCACATCAGACGCCAAGAACAACTTCCCCGACCCTGAGCACTTTCCTGAGTGGGACAAGAGGTACGCCACTCAAGTGCACTCCACGGGCCTCCCACCTTCTCGACGCCTCCACGCCCGCTTGAAAGAGCGCTTGTTGATCTGATTGACTGATAAGTGCCGACCTTGCTGCGTTGCAGGACGCCGCAGGTGATTTATGATCTCTTCAAGGAGTACTCACTTGCCTATGTGTGGATTCCCACCACTGACATGTCGACACAAGACAGAGCGAACATGTTGCCGCAGGTAGGTGGCCTGGCTCATTCGCTCACTGGCCCACCGACTCCCCATCACACGGATGAGATAGATTGGGTGTGAACGTGATGACCTTCCTACTCTCAGGCGGCATTCATACTAGGGGCACTCATCCAGAATGGCCACGCTGTTTACGTGCACTGCAACGGTGAGAGTGCTCTGTCGTCAAGTACCACCATATTATTGCCTTTTTATGGCGTTTTGCTTTCAGCGGGTGTGGGCCGCTCTGTTGCCGCTGCGTGTGGGTTCCTGTGCTACTGTCTGAACCATCCGGTTCGCCTCGTCCATCACATGATGTGCAGCTCACGACCCGTCGCATACTTCGTAAGCTAGCCATCTTAAGCCGACACACACATGCAAGCAACAGTCGTGCTGTCCGTTTGTGGCTGCTTGAATACGGCCAGGATGAGGCTGCGCTGCGAGCCGGCAGGAGTGACTTCCAAGTCAAGTACGTACGGCACGAGGAGGCGTCAGTTGACACTGGCGTACCGTACCGTACAGCCTGACCCCTGGAGCTGTTCCCCTCCCTTTTGTCTGCAGGTACGGCGACGTCTACCGACGGCTGCATGAGGACGGACAGAAGAGGAATTGTTTTCTTAGTGCGGGGGGGTGAGCGGCAGGCCTCAAACGAGTGTCCTCGGTCGAGAGGAGGGGTATGATGCGGATTGGCGCAGAGCAAAGATGCGCATAGAGGGGATAGAGGGGTGCGGACTCACTGTAAATTCATCTCAAGACATTTCCTTCAGTTCGTCCATCATCCGCAGCCTGCAGATCAGTGCAGCGGCACATTCATCCCAATTTGATTGCTCTTCTCAGCTCGTGTAGCGTGAGGTGAGTGCATTCGTTGGTTGGCCGGATCAGCCGCTTGGGCGCTTCGGAAGGCATAAGAATGGACGAGGACATACCAGAGGTCGATATCGACATTGACTTTGCCCCAGAGGACGCATTTCTCGAAGCAGAGGAAGCATTCGTCGAGGAAGAGATCGTTGAGACCTCTGCTTCAACCCTGTACAGCACACACACATCACCTACGCACACCTACCTACAGCGCTCTCCTCCTGTGTTGTATCATTGACGTGTGTCATCTGTGTGTATGTCAACAGCCTGTCGATTCCCGCTGGCGAACCGGTCCCCCTCTCTCTCCTGCGGTACTGTCACAGACCTGCTACCGGCGCGGTTGTGTTTGTATGCATGCTGTGTGCAATCAATGTCGGCAGGCATCGGGGGCTGTGGCCCAGTGGGAAGAAGGCCGACATAGTCAGCGAGCTGGGGGGCACGAACCTGTTCCTCGTCCATGGCGAAGCTCTGCTGGTGCACCTGCTGCGGAGCATCTGGTGCCGCAGTTATCAGTCACTCTGGGAGATCCAGCCATTGGTGGTGATATATCAGTTCGAGAGGTTCCTTGCGAACCTGAAGGAGTGTGGGTGCGTCTTCCGGCTGGTGTTTTTTGACATCTTCGAGTGGCACTTCTGCGATCACCTGGCGCTGTGGTGCTTGCGGCAGGCTGTGCTGCTGCACTGTCGTCGATACCAGCTGGAGCCTCTGGTATTCTACGACTGGTATGGCGAGGACTGGCATCGGTACATCAATGACTGGCACCCCGCATTCGTCTTATCCGGCGACGACCCCTATGTGGGCAACCCTCCCCCTCCCAACACCCCTCTCACCGCATCCTCCTTCCCTGAGGACCAACCGTGCCCGTTCCTGATTCCATGGGGCTTCCTTGTTGCATGCCTCACCCAAGGCACGTCGGTGGCGCTGTTTTATGACATCGAGCGGCAAGGGAGAAGAGTGGTGGCCCACACCCTTCCAGTTGACTTCGGTCACCCTGTCCTCAACAACAACCTCCAGTCCTTCCTTCCACGCTATGTCGAGGCAACAAAGAGGCGGCTTGAGAGCGGCTCTGCTGACGACGAAGAGGAAGAAACGGCTCACGGGGCAGGCGTCGACTCGCTCAATGGTGGCGGGGCGGAGGAGACAGCCCCTCGGCTGCTGCATCAGTTCTTCCAAGAGCTGGGTCAGTCTTTTCCTTCAAATACAACGGAGGCCTCCCGCTTTCGCCCTGGCCTGCGGAGCTTTCTCGCCGTCGACTGGCTGAGGGAGTTGCTCGGTGACGATGACGATGCAGAAGAAGCTACTTCCGAGAGCGGGCAAGGGGATGAGGATGATGACGAGGAAGAATCGCTTCTGACTGTTCTGGGGCAACAAGGACTTCGCTACCTCACTGCGATAATTGGAAAGCTTCTCCTGCTCCACGACTGGCTCCTCCAGTCAATGCCTCTCCAAATGAGGTAGGTGGCACAACGAAACGAAACCAGCACATGCGAATGGATGCGCTGCGCGGTTGTGGCCATGCAGATGCCACAGCACCTGCACCAAGTCGGACTGGAGATTCTACGAAGACATAGAGGACACTCTGTTGTCGACTTTCTTCGAGGCAACGACGAAACGGCTGTCGGAGGTACGGAACGGACCCCTTACCCCAGTGCCTGTCAACGATATCAGGTTTGCCTGTTCAGATCTCCTCAATGTTCACGGCCATCGAAAGGCGACAGACTGGACGGGAAGCCGCACATGACCACCTTCTATCAGCGGTGTCTGACGTAAGGAAGGCATGAATCACCACGAGAAAGCGCGCGGTGCTCTGCCTCTGCTGTACAGGTGTGTGACTATTTTGATAGCCGCCTCTTCCGAACGACCATGGTGGTGATCGCGCAGCGTGTCTCAGAGGACACACACACGCAAGACTGGTAAGGGGGTCGTCGTTGATGTGTTGTTGCACATAGATGGGTTGTCTGCAGGTGCATCGACTCGTCATTCTTCGGCATGTCCGGCTCCGAGGTGTCCTTGCTCGACTGGGCATGGCAAATGATGATGTCTGTGGAGAGAACGAAGAGATTGGGCTTCTCGGCGAGCTTCTTCCCCCTCGACCTCCGACCGTTGGCGAAGGTCCTCCCTTTGGCTTCCATTCCCTCACTCCCTCCCCCTCCATCGACAGCTGGCGGAAGTCAGGCCATCCTTGCCATGCGTTCGACATTTCTCGAAGGCTTCCTGGTGTCAAATCAGCTTCCGGGGACGCTTGAAATCGAAGACAGTGCTCTTGATGTAGCCGAGGTACTACAAGACACAAATGAACGAACGCAGCATGTCATTTCCTCTGCTGCACAGCAACCTCTCTTCCGAGATGAAGACTGGCAACCTGAGCCGAACATCGTCGACCCAATATACGAAGTACGAAGTGAAAGGTCGCAATTAGGGGTGCGCTTCATTCGCATATCGGTCACCAGATCCTCCGCGAGGACGCTGAAAAAGAGGAGGAACTTCCCGAGTGGCTGAAGAAGAAGATGTCGAAGCTGAAATCAGGCAGGCTGCAGGCAGGCAGCCGCACAAAGACAAGCACATGGGTGGATGACGTGCGCCTGTCCATGCCATATGTGGGTGCAGATGCTGAGCGGAGGCAAGCGTTGATGAAATTCAAGCTCAAAAGGTCCCTCTTCCTTCGATACCTGAAAGAATGGGTCAACCCCTCGTATCCTATCCTGTCAGGGAGCAAAGAGGAAAAACCACGCTGCATGCATACGCAAAATCCCTCACGGGAGCTGACAAGCTTCACCACCCGATCGTGCAACGAAAAGAGGGTACGAGAGACCGGAAGCGATGGCCGATTAATTGAATGTACTGTAGCTGGATAACAGGAAGTAAGCCGGAAGACGACGACGAGAAAAAGAAGCCCAAAATGAGTTCAAAGGCAAAGGAGATCCTTGAAAGGACAGAACAGGCAAGAAGGAAGCAGCTCTTGGCAACATTTGGAGTTGTAAAAGGTGCTTCTGTAGTTCAGGCTCAACGAGAAAAAATGAAAGCTGCGGACTCGGTGCAGATCAAGGAGATCGACGCCGCTGTAAGTTCTAGATTCCTGGAATCTCAGGCAGCCTTACCTGTCCTGCTTCAGGTGGAAAAGCTCGGGTCCATCACGGACCCCGATGTCTTTTGCACTAGTTTGCTCAATCAAACGGCGGGATACTATCGTGTCATGGACGCGTTCAACGATTTCCCGGCCATAACGAACCTCTTGAAACTCCCCGAGTCTCAGATGAAGGTGCTGATCAAGATAGCAAAGTGCTCCTGCAGCTCACTCCATCAGATGAGGCCAAGCAACATCACGACGCCCTCCAAGCGAAGCGGTGTAAGACGAGCAGTATGTCTGCTCTTTCGTTTGGTTCACGACATCTTCAACGCATACATTGGTATGATACGTTATGCATTGGCGCCAAGACAACAATCTTGCGCAATTTTTTCCTGTAGACGTCATCGACGGCAAGGACGTCTCTACACTTCAGGAGATTCTCCTCTCCCTTGGAATGCGAGATAGCGCCAAGCACCTTTTTCTCGTAACTGGAAAGAATGAAGGATAGATGTCGAAGTTTGTTCAGTGTTGCTTTCTTCCAGGCGTGGAAGAGAAACAAGCAGGCGGCAGCCCCACCCTTGAAGGGCGAGAAAGACGGCAAGCGTCAAGAAAAGAAAGGCAAAGTCCCAAAGCAGAAAGAAAAGAAGACGGGAAAGGCCACAGAGGCTCACTCGGCGACTGCAGCAACCCCCGTAGGATAGCCAACAAAAGAAAAACGTGACCACATGCGATGCAGAGTTCTGTTGTGCTGTGGTAGAGTCAGAGCGTCGATCTCGATCAGTTCAGGGTCAAACGGGCCAAGGAGGTCATTCATTTCAAGGTTAGAACAGTAACAGAAGGATCGATATGCATTCACCAGGCAGCGCATTATCAGGTGCCGACTGATGCCGAGATTGACTTCCAGCTGAAGTTCATGGGAGGAGACCTCGAGCGCACAACGGGCGCGACTTCAGACAAGAGAGTCAATTTTAAGCCAGATGCTTGGCAGAAAAGGCTTCTCGATATCGTGGACAAGGTGCGCGGTATGGCACAGAACGCTTTATCTTTTTGTTGTAAGTCACGTTCATCATATTTTGTCACGTTCATCATATTTTGTTCGTTTGCATAGAATGAATCCGCACTCGTTTGCGCACCAACTGCATCGGGCAAGACCTTCATTTGCTACTACGCGATGGAGAAAGGTGCGTGACTGCAGTGAATACGACGGAAGGAGGCACGTGCTCAACCGGGATTTCTTTTCCACTTTGTTCCCAGTCCTGCGAGCCGACAGCGAGTCCGTCATCGCATATGTTGCACCTTCAAAAGCCCTCGTGAATCAAGTGGATGCAGAGATCTATGCGAGGTTCTCCTCTAAGCAGTATCCGGCTTTCTCGAAGACGGTGCTTTCTGGCACCTGGACAGAGGAGTACCACAATCGGCCGCTGGACTGCCAGGTGCTTGTAACTGTGCCTTCAGTTCTAGAACTGATATTGATGTCGCCGGAGGAGCGGAAATGGATCAACAGATTGAGATACGTGATCTTTGACGAAGTGCATTGCATCGGAAACCAGGTCAGCCGCTTTCGTCGTGTCCACTACAGGTCGCGTACTTCATTTCTATTCACAGGAACAAGGAGGAAGCTCCTGGGAACACTTGCTGCAATTGATTCCATGTCCTTTCCTTGCCCTTTCTGCTACTGTTGGCAATCCTACGGCCTTTTACGAGTGGTTGACCCGCGCGCACACTGCAGCCCCCGTCAGCATGATTGTTCATCACGAACGGTAGGTAGGCTACGTACGACCTGCTTGTTGCGGGCGCGCGAACTCTTTTTTTTTCAGCTACTCCGACCTGCTTAAGTATGTTTATTTCGACGGCAATTTGTATCCGCTGAACCCGATTGCATGCCTTCACTTCCGCCAGGTACTGAATGGGGGAAAGGTACTGAATGGGAGAAACTATAACGTCTATCGAGGAAGTGCCCATGGATGTTTGGCAGGTCTTGACTGAAGGGCTCCCGCAAGACTTCTACCTGTCGCCGCCAGAAGCGCTCATGTTCTTCAAGTTGCTGCACGGCGCACTCGAGAAAACTGCACCTGCCTCGGGCCTTTGGTGGCTCGAACCAAATTTCTTCTTCAAAAGCACTCGTGCCGTAACAAAACGTCAATTTCGGTCAGCTGCAACCAGAGGCGATGGGTTTCTTTCCTCTGCCTTCGCAGCTGTGGACGTTGTCTTTACAGGTGGTGGATGAGCAGCCTAAAGCGCGAATTCGTCCGCTTGATTCGGGACAACGTTATTAGCGAAGAGGTCTTCAACGGCATCGTCTGCCGCCTGATGGACCCAGCGCCCTGCCGCTTCGGCACAACTGCGATCACGAATGAAGATGACGACACCGCAGGTATCAGAATCAGGGAATTGCTATTCAAACTACATGTTCCCATGTGTTACTCCAGACGCTCATCAGTCAAACGAGGAAGATGGTAAGAAAACTGCTGGACAAACAGCGGACATTGTGATTCGTGTTACTGATTCGTCTGAGTCTAGAGGAGTATGAATCGGAGGAAGAGGATGAGGAAGAAGAGCGTGACGCACCAAAAGTGGTACGCGGCTGGAAAAACACCTCATCGCCATTTCCTGCTTTTCGTAGGCCTCGCCTGCAGTGCACCACAACGGGCTCGTTGGCCCAAACATCGATGATGCCTCAACCAATATCACTCTTACTCGGCTCCCTAACATCTTGAGGTCCGTTGAGAGGCGAAAGACATACCTTGACCCTCAGGTTAGACAGTTTTGATGAAGGACGGAGAAGGCTGTCTCTCTCATGCCCGTCTCTCTCATGCCCTGTGAATTTCTAGAAACTTCTCGGTGTCGTTCGTTCTCTGGAGGGGTTTGATTTGCTCCCGGTGCTCATCTTCAACTTCTCCAGGACCGAGATCCATGCGATGGTTGCCAAGCTTGTGACATTTCTGCACAAACAGCAACACGACAAGTTCTATGGAGACGAAGAAAGGACCAAAATGACAAAAATGGAAAACAAGCGAAGACGTGACAAATACGAGGTGAAGACGAAGGGGCAAAACTATCCATCCCAGTTGGATGTGTGTGTGCTTGCGCGTGCCAGAGCCAACTCAAGCAACTTGAAATGAACGAAAAGATGAAGAATGTCGGTCGAAAACAGCGCCTCGAACAGGGCTTGGAGGGTGAATACGACGAGACATTGGGAGCGGGCCTTGGGCCACCAAAGGATGTCGCAGAAGAGTTCGACGAGGAGTTCAGCCTCGCCAACAGGTAATGAAACAAAATACCGGGTCGATAGACGTGGAGGCCGCAAGAGATGCCTTGATTCCAGGAAGGTCCTTGGCATGCGGAATGAAGACATTGAGGAACAGATTCAGCGCGTCGCTATGAGCAGCGTCCCCTCGTTCTTCGTAGAGGGTCTTCGACGTGGAATCGGGGCGCATCACGAGGGTTTGAACAAGAAATACAAACAGGCTGTGGAGGTTCTCTTTCGGATGGGCTACCTTCGTGTTGTAATCGCAACTGGAAGCCTGGCACTCGGGATCAACATGTAGGAAAGAGATGAAGAAAAACAGCACGTATCAACAGTGTTGCCACTGTCCGTGTTCGCGTGACCGCAGGCCGGCTCGAAGTGTGGCGTTCTCTGGTGATTCTCTTGAGCTGACACCATTAATGTTCCGCCAGGTGAGAGGCTCCTAAGAAGGGTATCCGCTACTTGACAGTGGTCTTGTCCATTATTGTTTTTGTAAACAAGATGAGCGGGAGAGCAGGTCGTCGAGGCTTTGATGCACTCGGTCACGTGATATTTCTCGATTTTCCTTTCTCGAAGGTACGTTGTGCCGTGTATGTTATTGCTACTTGATGTTCACTGAATCTTGTGTCTCGTCAGATGAAACGACTTATGTCCTCCACCCTGTCCACGCTGAGTGGTGCCTTCCCGGCAAGCCCGTCTCAAGGTGCACACCCAGTGCACTGACTGCTTCCGCGTGACTTGTGCATCACTTTCCTGTGTGCTTTCGTGTAGTCTTGCGAGTCTTGCAGCTGCATGAAGTGCTCAGACTGAAGGATTCGGGCGATTTTGATTTCCTGAAGGACGACTCGGGATATTTCCGTACTCTTGTTGAAAAGCCAAAGACCCTTCCCGACTACTTGCGCAGCGTCGACGACGGTCTGGTCAGGATGTTTACGGAACCCTTATTCTCTATCTGCAACAATGAAGCGGAAGCGCACCATCTATTGACCAAAAAAGAGGAGAGAAGCTGTGCGGTTACTGAGTGGCAGGATCGAATCCGCAGTCTCGTCCGATACCACTTCAGGTACTTCACTCAATCCGACGGCATCTGGATGTGGCGCGTGTTTGTCGTCTCAGATTCCATATGGAGCTTCTTCGAAGGAGCTTTCTCGTCAACGAAGGGGGCGACTCTATCGGACTTGCGAGTAGGTGGCTGTGCCAGAATGGAAGCTTATTTTGCGTCTTGCGTTTTCCCTTCTTTGAATGTAGCTCTCATGACGTACATCTTCGAAACAGAACCCGGCAACCTTTTTCTCAACCGATTACTCCTCTCAGGTTCCTTGACCAAGCCGGACTGATGCCCCTCTTTGCTTACTTGTTCGTGGTTCCCTCAGGCCGACTGCATCAGCTTTTGAAGCGAGTAGAGAGCACACCCGCTATCGAGGAGGAGCAAGACCGTACCCTGTTGCTCGTTCTTGCCCTTCTTTTCCAAAGACGCACGCTCCTTCCTAGTGTAAGTGAGGGATATGTCACAAGAGTGTGGAATGTGTCCTTGTTTGTTGTATAGGCAAGATACCATGCCAACACGGCACCAGAAGCACGGAGAAGGTCGGAAATGTTCAGTGCGAAGAGTCCCTTCCTCCCGCCTGTCCCACACCCTGTTCTGAGCGAAATATCCGCACTGAATGACGAGGTATAGAAATTCGAACAAGAACAACAAGAAAGAAACGACAATGGACCGACCACGGGCATGCAGGTCTTCTCCACAGTCGAAAACTGCATCCACTCAAGCAGTGCAACGCGAAGTTTCAGGCCCGAAGACTTCCGACTCCCTTTATCCACGAAGCAAATGGGAAACGAAACAGACTCCCAGCATGTTTCGTCGCGCTTCTCGACGTGCTTCGGAAACCAGGCGAGCTCGACACCTGTTCAGATGATGAGAAAACAGGGAGCCGACCAGTCGACGAGTTGATTTTGCTGTCTCTCACAGGTCATCAAGTACAGTGCCCGATCACCATTTATGGCTGTCACTGGCGTTGGCGATGCTTTCCTGGGCATTCAAGACATCATTTGTTCGACTAGGAGCGATGTGTTCATCGATATCCTCATGATACCACACTTACGACTACCCCTTGGGACGGAGAAGGGGCTGGCTGAAGATGACGCTGTTCTCTCACATGACTACGAAGCGGCTGCCCGGAATGAAGTCCTTTTGAACAGCTGGATTCTTGATTTCTACACGCACGGGAAACTAGCGCTCTTACGAAACAATGGCCTGGGTTCGGAGTCTTGGGCTTCAGTCAAGAGTTTCATCGATATCCTCGCAAAGATTAAGGTAGCTTTCAGACTGGTAGCTGTCGGAACAAGTTGGTATGAGGTTACGTCACGTTTCAGGCGGTGCTGACAAGGATTCTGAAAAAAAGCGAGGACCCGGTTTTCGAGTGTGTCGAGCGGCTGCACAACAGACTCTCACAGCTGCTAAAAGCAGCCTCGTCATAGTGCGTTAGTCTTTATTACATGACATCATGGGAGTGTGATGAAACTCCATGTAGTAGGACGTTCACACATACGATCATGACACGCTGCACAGTGATTCCTCTGTGCGTGTCAATGGATGAGTGCGGACGACTTGCACGGACATGATTCACATCGGTGATTCTTTCATCGAAAGCCTAACTACTAGCCTCTTTTTCACTCGACCAGCAAGGCGGCGCCCGGCCGCAACTACCACCTTGCCGCTATTGTCTTGGCTCACGAAATCGACTGGACAGGCAACGATATCAGAAAGTGAGCATGTTTTTCCGATACTCGCTGTTTCTGGGCACTGACATTGCGCAGCCTGTCTCGCGGTTTCGCCATGCGACGCTTCGGTTACACGAGGCCTCTTTTCAGGACGGACGCTAACATCTGAGAGAAAAGAAAATGGCACAAGATGGAAATTTGCGTTGCATCGGTCTAGACCCTCACCTTCAGTATTCTCGATGGGGCTGGCAGGCCGGGCAATTTCTACTTCGTCACCGGAGAAGTTGCGTTGGACCCCCGCTACAGCGGAAGTGACTTCGCCATCCTGCGCTACAGCTGCCACATCTCCAGCGGCCTCTTCATCGGCTGAGGATCTGGGGAAGACCGAGTGCGGAAGCTCAGACCTTTTCAGGCTTTTGAATCGGACTTGGGCGGCGTCGGAATGCGTGCTCATATCCTGTTCACCAGAGCATTCAGCCAAGAAGCCAGTACTCCATAAGTACACCACTGGAATCATTGACTCACCTCCCAAGTGTACAACATCTCGCAAAAGTCCGTCATTGGCCGTCTCATGTCAATCGTCGCGTTGCTCTTCGGAATGAGAGCGATGAACATCGCAGTCGCATACTCCCACTCATCATCCTGCATGCGTAGCGAAGTACAATCGTTGATCGATGGTCTGCAGAAAAGCTGGAGTGCTCGCGAACCTGCAAATCGTATGATTTAGGCCAGGGATGAACCTCCACGTTGGCCATCTGCTCGAGGGCCTTGATCAGGAAACGAAGCTTTGATTCAATCCACCCGTGCCACTTTCGGTGGACCTGAACATACATGCAAACACAAGACCAATGGGACCAATGATTGAGACCCAATTTTCGTGCCTGCTCTGTCTTGGCCAGACTCTCAATCATGAGGAAGCGCTTGGCAGACCGGAAGAAGTCTGCCTCTTGGAGGATGTCATTCCACGTTGCGTGTCCCTTGTTGACGTTGTCAGCTATCTCGTGCCCCCTCTCAAACTCTCCCTTCATCACCCGCAGAGTCGTCAACGTCACGTTGTGAGTCGAGTTCATGCTTGGAAACGCAGGCGTTATGATCGGCATCAGGTGTTGCTTGTCTGCTGGGTTCACCTTGGGATTCCAGACCCTGAATCCCATCAAGCCAGGCGAGCTCTGCGGCTCCTTCACACGTGTCAGCAAGATAGGGATCTTCCAATTCCTGGGGCATAAGGCACATACACGAAGTCAAAGGTGGAGATGCACACGGAGCGTGCCTCACCACTTCGCGTAGACACGGAAGAAGCGGTGGACCAGCTGGCTTGGAGACATATTGGGGTACAGCTGACATACCCTTGCGACCAGCAGTGCCCACGAGACGCCCCCCAGGTACCCGATGACGTTTGAGTAGACTCCCCTATTACGCGCCCACAGCTTGATGAAGCGTAGTGTCATCCTGAAGTTCTCCTTGTTCGGGACTAGCTTGAGAATCATGTCAGCGACTCGACAGCCGTTGAGAGACCGAACGGTCTTCTCGTCTAGATTGCGCAGGATGTTGTCATCGTCGAGGTCCTCCATCTCCGGAGGGATCGTCGGCCTCGGGAGATTCGCAAAGAGCAGGTCGATGTCAATGCCATCGTAGTTCAGCTTGATCACCGGCGTGAATGCATTCGGCACAGGCTGCACCTTCCTGACGCTTGGGTGTTGGGATAGCTTGGCCGCCAGAAGGGTGTTAAAGGAATCCCGTGACACATGAGTCGGAGCGACACAGAGAGTGTCGATGTCGGAGCCGGGCGACACAACACCGAGGCGGTACGAGCCGAAGGTGAAGATCTTGCCACCAGCTTGCCTTGCCTCCTCCTCGGCCATTCCCTGACTCACGCCGACTTCGTATATCCACTCCTTGATGATGGAATCCAGCTCTGACAAGACACAGAGATCCGGCACGGCTCCGATTACTCACTCGTATTACCCCGTCTCACCAAGAAGAATCTGTTGACGGTGCAGCGTCTCTTCATCGCTCTCGAAAAGCCCATGGCCCTCCAACGTGCCTTTCAGACGCTGAGAAAGCTCCACGTCTCTCGCCCTGGGCCCTTCCATCGATATCTGAAGGCAAAGTCAAGCAGCCGGTGATAAACGCGTGTTGTCTGTGTCAGCTTTGGCTTACGGCAGTTCCACCCCAAGAGCCAGATCCCACGGGATTCGCTGCGCCAGACATCATTCTCGCGCTCACTTCGATGATGGCAGAACAGCGGCGACGGTACGATGAATCACGCCCGAGGACCCACTCCTGACTAGAAAGCTCGCACTCCGCTGCCGATCGACGGGATTTTCCCCATTCCGAGGAATTCGCGAGGATATCCTCTCCCGCCGTACCGATCATTCCGTCTATCCAGTCGTACAAGGATGCACCCAGCCGGAATGCACAGGCTAGAGCACCCCAAGCATGCCCGCCTGCTGACTCAGGTGGGGTCAACGTCAGGAGCCAACTATCGTGCTTTGTTCTGTTGTGTTCTCATGTTGGTTCGTTATTCGCAGATTCGCGAGCGCTGCCGGAAGCTTTGCGTGTGGTCTGAGTCTTCCTTTCCTGGCTCTCAACCTGTCTCCCTGAGCAAGTCGAATTTGTCAGAGATTCTCCGGAACCTGTACGTGGCCTGTGAGAAGACGGATGGTGTGCGGTACATGCTTTACGCGGCGACGGGAAGTGACGGACGAGGCCACGTGTACCTCCTCGACCGGAGCGAGGAGGTCATGCAGTGCTCTGTCACTCTTCCGACGAGGGATCGGAGCACCGGGGGCCAGCTGCCAACTGCTGATGACGGAAGGCCGCTCAAGACGCACCACGACACTCTCCTCGACGGCGAGCTGGTGGAGGATGTCGCAAAGCCGAGCAACGGCGGTGGCTCTGCAGATCGCCGATTGCGGTTCCTCATCTATGATGCGATAGCGATCAACGGCGTCAGCGTCGTCAAGGAGAACCTTCTCGAGCGCCTGAAGAAGGCATTGGTGGAGGTCGTGGAGCCGCGACGACAGTGGATGGTGCAAAACGAGGCTCCAAATGAGCCCTTCGAGATATTCCTCAAGGTCGTTCAGAGAGCTCTTGGCTGGCTAGCACTGAGTGCTGCCATCGCTAGTGTCACAGTCCAATTCGTGTGTGCTGATTCAGGACTTCTTTGAGATTTGGCACATCCCGACGATCATGGGTTTCTCGTCGAAGCTTCCGCATGAGTCTGATGGGATCATCTTCACCCCAGTGAAGGTGCCATACATCCCAGGTACGTGCCGCCAACTGTTGAAGTGGAAGCCGCCACACCTCAACACAGTAAGCTACCGACGGAAGCCGAAGCTGTCTGGTGCTCTGTCACATCGCGTCATGTGGTGTGTGGATGCAGGTTGACTTCCGCATTGAGGTCATCTACAATGGCAAGGAGCCAGCTTATGTGAAGCTATACGTTGCAAAGCACGTGAGCCAAGGCCAGGCAATGAATGGAATGGCATTCACTGTGGTCGTCGGTCGCCCGCATTAGTGTATGCGTGCCTCATCTGCCCGTCTGGTGTGTGTGTGCGGGACAGGGAGTCAACGTGCCGTACGGCTGGCTCGCCCCTGTTGGGGACATGTACCACGAACTCATGGCCAAAGCAAGGTACGCACACGCTTCGCAAAAGATGAATGGCACACGCAGACACAAACACCCGCACGGCCACGGAGGGGGCTGGCAGAGCTTTCCCTTGGTGGCGCGGCCGCCTGTTCGCATTGGTGTGTGTGCGTGCATCCATGTGTGAATCCGCTGGTTGATGCAGGAAGGCGGACGAGCTGAATCCGAGCGGTCAGATATGGGAGTGCTTTCGCCGCGAGGACGTCAAGACGTTTCTTCCCATTGACCTGGACAAGTACACTGCCCAGGGAGAGTGGGTGGAGGGCGGATGGATCGTCCAACGCCTCAGGGGTATGCTGCAGGCAGCAAAAGGCACCCAACACACAGGAGGGGTAGATAGCTTTGCGCGCGTTGATCTGCCACACCTCTTCTCTTGTGCCTGCATGTGTATGGGGCCGGCGCCTTTGTTTCTCCAGATGACAAGCTGACGGCCAATGATGTCAAAACAGTCAACAAAGTGGAACAGGTCAGGTGGGTTTGAGGCCGGCTCGCATCAGATTCGCGAAAGGACGAGACATGACATTATGCCGTCACGTGTCTAATGTCGTTGCATACGTACCTGCGTGTGTGCAGTCGATTACGGACTGCATCACGTACGAGGAGCTATGTCGGGTGTTTCAGGACTACCGTGACCAAGGCAAGAAGCAGGTGGCGGAGCTGACTCACACCTGGAGCCCACACTAGTGTGTCAGCTCGTTGCAATGAATGCATGAGACAGCGATGAATGATTGTTCACTCGAACGGACCTGTCCATCCTCTTGCCTACTCTAGATCTGTGTCCTCTGTTCGTTCCCACACATGAATGGAGTCAGCAGCCAGCGGTTTCAGACGTGGTTGCCCCATCCCTCCCTCCCTCCCTCCCTCCCCATCGATCATTCACTCATATCCAGGCTGCCCTCGTGTGTTGATTCATTCATCCACTAGTTATTCAACCCCCATGTTATCTATGCTGGTGACTTCCTCTTCCCTATGTCGATCGATACACCTCCTTCCCACTGCCTGAATGAATGCGTCCGTACCATATACGTACGTATGGTGTGTGTTGAAAAATCCAAACGGTCAAATCGATGCCTTCACTCCAAGAAGGCAGCGGGGATGTGGTCAGCGTCACTGCACATCCATCACAATCACACACACACAGACAGACAGACAGACAGGCACAAACAAGTCCAGGTATGAATGAACCATTTGATCGGTGGGCTCATGACTCACTCCTGGGGCTTCTCGGCTGAAACGAGACGCATTCAAAGCAACCCAATGCAGTGTGTGGGCAGCCTGTGTGTGTCTCTCACTCACGTCCACAGCAGAGGTATTTTTCGCCGTCTTCGAAGTCTGCCAGGTCCTTGACAACAGTCTTCATGTTCTGCTTGTAGATCTTACGAATCACACCGCTCTTGGGCTGGCAGCCCTGCTTGTTGGCCTCAGCGATGAACTGAATGAATTGTGCCGCGACGCACGCACATACACACCCAAGCGGTCGACATGACCATCGAGGCCAACGAAACCATGAAGAGCCATGGATGAATTTATATCGCACATACATACATACACACAATGCTTGGGGGCAATTAATGCATTAGCTCCCTGCGCCGCCTGACCCCAGCCGGTCCTTCCGTCCGCCCTACCTGGTCCATGTTTCTGATGGTCTTCTTGACGACGAACTGTTTGGTTCAGAAACACATCAATGACACACAGAGAGAGAGAGGCCGCGTGTCCTGAGAGACACCCCAGGTGGACCCTCCTGTCTGTCTCACTCACTACATATTCATCACGTACCTTGACTCCCTTGAAGTGCTTGTCGCCGTTCTTGTACAGCCAGATGGAGATGGGTGTCTCCGCCTGAGTCCCGAACTTCTGCTGGCCGAGGGGCCCCTGCACTACTGGCTTACGACCCGCACGCTCGGCCTGGACACATGTGTTATTGAGTCATACACGCACAGGCACACAAGCAACAACCACAAAACAAGTGGATGGACACTCCCGGCCCCCCCCCCCTTCGAACCACACGCATATCTTCATCTCTCACCCCTCCCCTCCCCCCGCCCCCCTCACGTGGTCGACGGTCTTCTCCACGGCATGTTTGCGTGCGGTCGACTCGGTTGAACCATCCACCTGCAGACATCACGCGTTCCTCGCTATCGTTGTGGGGCAGGCGGGGATCTGGGGTCGGCTCACGTTGACGATTTCCTCTCTCCCAGCGATGCCACGACCCTGGCCGGAGTCGTCGAAGCGGTGCTTGTGGGCCCCCTTGATGAACAACGTACAACGAAAGCCAATACGGTACGATTGCAATGTCGGAAAATCGTGGGGGGGGGGTACCGTGTATTGGGAGCTATCGGTGAGCTTGTCAAAGATGTTTTGCTTCGGCGCCATGGGAGGGAGACTCGGCCAGTGGATAATCAACGCTCTCTCCTTTTGGGGCCTCGACGGGCCCCACAGCCGCAGCGAAAGATCTCCGGGTTGACTGATCTGGTGAGGGGCGTCCCTCGCTCCTCTACACATGAACCACTCGGATTGACTGACCTGTCTAGGCGCCCCTTGTTTCCGACCGTGTATATTACTCATTTGTCTCAGTGTTGATGTCCAACTGCGATGCCTTCATTCATTAATGTCGTGAGTCTACCGTCCGTCCGAATGGACAAAAGAGAAGGACCCCTCGCCGTCTACATTCACGGAAATAGATACTCCACTGAAGAAGGAAATGGACAAGAAGGACATGCCCGATCGGTTCTTGAAGGAAAGACAAAGACAAGGCGTGGTAGGAGTGAATGTAGTGGATGGATGAGTGGAGAGTAAGTATCCGAACTACTCTATACTGAGCCCAGGGAAACACTGAGTGTCAAAGTCACTAGTGTACAAAGCGCGTGACGCACACAGAAGACGCCGCCGACCTAAAAAAGGAGATCCATGTATGGTCACACCCTCCCCAGCCCTGTCACTCCCTGTCCGCCTCCCTGGAGCCCTGCTGTTCCTCAGCCCACTAGCAGGTGTTCAGTCTGCCGATCTTGCTCATCCCCGACGCCAGGTCGCTGTATCCTTGTGTGGACATCGTAACACGCAAGCTCGTGCTCCCCGGTGACCATCTGACATGATCATGTCACCAACCAAGACACACAACACATGACCAAATCCTTCAGCCAGCCTTCCTTGCCGTCTTGGTCAATCTATCTGGCCTGGCCTGGCCAGCCCTGCAAGGTACTACCCACCCACCTTCCCACCTGCCTACCTTGATTTTTCCCGCTATGTTTCCATTGGGTGTGTCTGCCGGAAGGAATGCCTGCACTGATGTGGTGAAGGGGCCAGAGGGAATCGGGCAGCCAGTACTGAGAGTGCTGCAGAGGGGCAGCTCCACATAGAAGGGCAGCACTCTGACAGACATGGGGCAATCAATGGATGAAGCAACGCAACGGCAGGCAGTCATTGAGTGGGTCAGTCAGTCAGTCGGTGCCGTCCGTGAGTGCCTGAGTGATTGTGTGAGTGAGTGAGTGAGTGAGTGCGTACCTGTCGAGTATGACGGCAATGGTTATCTTCCCGCTGGTGACTGCCAGGCCGGTGTTGCTGCCGCCGAGTTCCACCGTGACCGACTGGCCCGTAAGGATGGGGTCAGGGAACACACGGATGTGATCAAACACCAACTGGTACTCTGATCAATCAGCAAACCACCACTCGTCATCACCTCCCTCCCTCCCTTCCCACCTCTCCTGCTCACCTTCGTGTTTGCACGGATGGAAGGTCGAGGACACGGATGACGATGCCCCATCCGTCAGATCTGAGAGCGAACGCCTCGGGGAGCCTGCCACGTGAGTGAGGATGTCCAGCACCACTATCAGCCATGCAATCCGCGAGAAAAGACGTTGCTGGCAAACAAAGATGGGTGCCGACGCACGTCTTTCGCAGACTGGCAAGCCCCTGACCATGTTCGTAGCCTTTGTTGTCGTCTGCCTCCTTCGGAGCAGTTTCGGGACTCGTTGCGAGCTTTTCTTTCGCAGGGAAATGGCATTCGGTGCTTTGAGGCCGTAGTGGTGAGAGTATGAGAGATGAGCGCGAGTAGGAAGCTGTTTCTTGCCGCCCGACGGGGAGATCTCGTCAAGGTGGCAGAGGCAATCGAGGAACACGGCATCTCGGTCAACGTCACCGATGCGGTGCGGTCTTATATATATACCAGTCAAGAAGATCTATCTCTATACTCAAAGACCGCCTCACTGCAGGAGTATACGCGTGGCATTCCCCTTGCCCGTGCTGTCTGTGCCATGCTGTGGTGTGCAGGCAAGCTGGACGCCATTGATGTGTGCTGCTGCGAATGGCAAGGTTGCTGTGGTCAAGTACATCCTCTCGCGCAAACCAAGACTGAATGCCATGAACCAAGTGAGTGAGTGAGTGGGTGTGTGGGTGGGTGGGCATGCTGATGGGCATTGATCGATTGCAATGGCTGTGCTGCCTGACTGAGGAATGGTGTGTGTGACGTGGCTGGTCGTGTCGTGTCGTGTGGTGTCGTGTGTGTACGCAGTTCCGCTGGACGGCTCTTCACCTAGCTGCCAGCCATAACAAGGACGACGTTGTGGGGCTGCTCGCAGCAGCGGGATGTAACATACACGCACAAGATCAGGTCTGCCTCCTGACACTGCTAACGCAATACGGTCGGTGCTCTCCCTCCACCCTTCTCTGCCTGCCTGCCTGCCTGCCTGCCTGTGGGTCTGTCTGGCTGTCTGCCTGTCTGCAGGATGGGCACACGCCCCTTCACGCCGCTGCTTCGGGAGGCCATGTCGAGAGCGCACGGGCCCTACTTAAGGTCAGCCGGCAGGCAGGCAAGCCCGTGTGCACCCACGGTGTATCTGTCTGCATGTGTGAGGTGCTGGTCGGCTGCGCAGGCGGGTGCCAATGCTTTCGCAAGCAACAAGGTAGGTAGGTAGGTAGGTAGACACATTCCGGCCCGTGGAGGGATGCAAGCTAGATAGGCGTACACGTAGTAAGTTGGGTTGGGCCAGCCTGCCAGTCAGTTAGTCAGTGAGCAACTAGCTACCTTCGTTAGTTGAGTATCTGGTCACTCAATCACTCACGTGCGTGTGCCTTGCTTGCTGCCCTGCCTGCTTGATTGGTCAGCACGGCGAGACCCCCGGCGACATTGCAAGGCAGTTCGAGCGGACAGAAGTGGCGCAGCTCCTCGAAAGCTGGAAGCCAGGTACATACTGATGCTATGTAGCATCCAAGTATCTATCTGCAGTAGCTGGGGGCATGGACACACCGTGTGTGCCTGCCTGCCTGCTTGTTTGTTTCTTAATCTGTGTGTATGTGTGCTTCCTTCCTTGGTTCCTTCCTCCTTCCCTCGCTCGCTCCTTCCTTCAGAGTCAGGTGTAGAGGATGTGCAGTGGGAGACCAGCGAGACGCTGACAAGGTCGTGGTCCACGGAATCCAGCTCGAGATCCACGCCAGCGTAAGTACATACCTACCTATAGTGCACACACACCTACACAAACACACACACAGGGGAGGGGGAGGGGGAGGGAGGGGGGAGGGAGGGGGGAGGCGAGGGGCCATGCACGGCAGCCAGCCCACTGACACGACAGGGCAGGTCGACAGATGGAGTGTCTGTGTACCAAACCTATGTGTGTGTGTTGGTGGTTGTTGTGCCTGTACCTGTCTGTCTGTCTGTCTGTCTGTTGGTCCGTCCGCAGTCGTGAAGGTGAGTCTTGCGTTGTGTACTCGTACAGCCCGCGCGACAACTGTTGGTACTTCAAGCGAGACAAGCGGAAACTGAGGACATGGAGGGAGGTACGTACCTTTATACCTCCGCACACTCGTACACACGGCAATGCAATGAGTGCACTGGCCGACCAAGCCCCTCTCCCTTATAGCCACCATCAACGCATCTATGTATCTGCATTGCAGCGCTCCGTCACGGATCTGGCCACCGGGCTTGGTAAGCTCGAGAGAAAGAACGAGCACCAAAGAGCCCTCAACACAACTTGCATGGCTGACTGCTGTGCTTTGCTTTGGCGGTGGTGTACGTACGTACGTCCGTGTTGCGCATGTTTAGTGAGTTTTCCGGCCACGTTGTCTATGGCCAGCCCGTCGACTGCCAGACCCTCGTCCCAGCCGCCATCCAGCGACATGACAAGGGACAAGACCATGCGACCACCGCCGGATGGCGTTATTGACGGCAGGGCCGATGGGGGGCTCCACATGGACGTCAAGCAGGCCCAGCTGCACCCACCCACACTCCCCCAACCCAAGACAGGCAGTCAACAAAAGGTACGTACGTACATACACTCACACTTTCATACCTAGCTGGAGCGGCGTGGGGCCAGCCGACTCGCTGACTGACAACACCCTATAGTCAGTTGTGTCCGGTGCCTTGTCCGCTCAGGAGCGTGTTTGCACGGCTCGTTACAATCCGTCATGGCGTCTTCGCGACTTGATGGATTTTGTGTCGTGGAGCAGCAGCGTGTCGTGGTGGCTGCAGAGCTTCAGCGATGCCTGCAGCCACCGGCCGCAGCCCCTCTACCACCCTGACTGCTGCCTCGTCCTTCTCATCGATCGCATCCCTAAGGCCGGGACGGTGTCTGGTGGCGCCCCACAACCCCCACCCCCTCCCCACCCACCTGAACACCAACGCCCTCACACTCACCCTCCTCAACAACCAGAGCCACAGCCACAGCCACAGCCCCCGTCGTGCGCCTTCCAGCCAGGCAAGGGCAGGGTTCCCATGCAAGCAGCTGCGGCAGGGACCGACGCTCAGCCTCTCGAGTCGTCCCCCGACGTCCACCCACTTCACGCCTACGGCCAGGAGGCTGTCAAGGACCCCTCTCTCTGGTTTGTGCTCGACAGCTTCGCATCCTTTGATCTCATGCCAGATCTACCCGCTGTTGCTCCTGCTGTGGCTGGTGGTGGTGGTGGTGGTCACAAGGTCCCCTGTGGTGCACATGAGAGAGGGTATGTTGGCCCATCTGTGTCGACTTTGTCCCACCAGCCGCCCACCCCGTCCGTGGCCACCCCGTCGCTGCCGGTGTCCCAACCCTGGGGCAGCGGCAGGGATCGAGAGACCGACATGTTCCTGGGGTCCTTCCTCAGGCAGAGGCAGCCGCACCAATTCGCCTTCCGCACTGAGCACAAGGAGGCCTTCGTCTGCTTCCAACACTTCCTCTATGACCGGTCAGGGCACGGCACGCCATGGCTGGGAGAGAGAAACAAGAGAGAATACAACAAACACCATCCACTCACTCACTCACTCCCTTACTTGACGGGTCTCCGTGTGTCTGTGCTGTGTGCAGCTCTGATGGTCAGGTGGTGATCAGCCGCTACGCTCATGCGGTCTTCATGAACACACATGGATACGTCGCTGAGGTCAGCGACAAAAACACACAGGTAGGGTACCGTACGGATGCAATGCAATGCAATGCAATGCCTCCTCACCAACCTCATGATAAGTGAGTGCATTGATTGCATCGATTTCTGTGGGCTGTGTCGCAGCTTCGTCGTTCTTTGTCGTCTGACGACTTGCTGTCTGCCCCGCCATCGGTGTGCCCCAGTCCCATCATCAAACCCATCCCTGGGGGCGTCTCGTCTCTGGATGCTCTCTTTCTCGAAGTGGAACCTGATGTACTGTACCACCACACACACCTTAACGCCGGCACACGACAGACAGTCCACTTATTTCCGCGTGGCGTGTGTGTGTGTGTGTGTGTACCCTACTAGACTCCTCGTTTGAAGGAGGGTGTGAGTGGTGTGTCGTCTGACCACCCCCACCAGCAGACGCCCTCATTCCCCCCAGTGCCCCGGCCGGGGCCGCCCGGCCACCCCCAACTTGACGAAGCCGCCAGCCCACTGCACCTGGCGGATGTCCTCTCACCAGACGCCAACAGAGACGACCCCAATACATACGCCAGAAAGTGAGTCAGGGACTCGTGGGGTACCTACTTAGCGAGGCGCTCGCAGCCAGGCAGGAAAGATCTTGCAGCGAGGACGGAGTGTGGCTGAGGGAGGAGCCATCTCTGTCTGTCTGTCTGTCTGTCTGGTTGGTTGTGCGTGGTGTCTGTATGTACGTGTGTGTGTGTGTGTCTTGTATTGTCTTCAGGTGTTCGATATCGTCTGATGTGAGGCGGCATGCCGAGGTGATCTTGAACTTCACCCGTACCCACGTCTGTGGCCGATTGTGCCGGGAGCTCAACCTGCCTGCACTCTTCCATCACGACTCGGGCGATCCCGGTCAGTCAGTGAGTCAGTAAACCTCCCTGCCTCCCTGCCACCCACACGCACCGGGCGCACCGCACGCCCCTGTGACCGCTTTCCACTGTTGCCTGTATACCGCCCGGCTCATCCATGGGCTTTCTCTGTGAATGCGTGTGTGTGTTGTGTGTCAGAGGCGACATTTGCTGTGATGGAGGCTGCTCTCAACCGTAAGAGCTTTGACCTGACCACCGGGCCCGCTGCAGCTGAGGAATCGAGAGACCACAACGGGTCGACCCAAGACACATCTCGACAGCAGCAGCAGGGGCAGCAGCAGCACACCAGCAGGGGCCACAATCACGGCACCGGCTGCAAACCATTCCCATCACCGGCCGGCAGGGGGCACCACAAACGCAAGTGCTCCATTCAGTGACTGGGCAGGTGGGTTGGACGGATGGCCTGGTAGGCCTAGATGGAGGATGGCTACGGCATGCATGCCTCCGTCAGCTGTGGCAATGAATGCAACGACGGGTGTCAAAAGGAACAAAGAAAGTGGCAGGCAGGCACGTATGTCTGTCTGTCTGTATTTATGTGTGTCTTGACCGACCGACGACCGACCGGACGAGTGAGTGAGTGTGAGTGTCTGGGGACGGGAGGGACCTTTGATTGATTACGGACGGTGTGTTGTCTGACGCGTACGCTCAGTGAAGGAAGCTTGCAGGACGGCTGAATCAATGAATGAAGGTCGTTTATGGTATATGTGTGCATGACAACCACACATACATACACTCATCCACTCATTCATTCATTCACTCCTTCCTTCCTTCAGGCTATAAGGCGGTATACATGTGCGTATGAATGTACGAATGCATGTATGTCTTTTATGTCATGAGTCACTACAGCAATCAGTACCATGCCCCGCTTCTCGCCACTCGACACAACAAAAAGAGGCAGCCCGTCCTGTCTGTTCTGTCCTTCTTGCCTTGCCCGTCCCCGAGAACACTGCGAGTATATTGATTGCATAGCATCCATCAGTCACCGGAGTCGCTCGTTCTTCTTTCGGTGGTCTCGTCCTTTTCTCCTCTCTGTCAGATTGTCGATGACTCGCTGGTACGACACAGCCCGCCGCTTTCGCCTCTCAACCTAACCACAAGCATACACAACACAACACACGCCTTGGAAGGCAGGCCCGCACTGCACTGCCACCCCCTACCTACCCACCCACCTCTTGGTACATTAGGGCCGCTCCATCACCCGCTCTGCCGACTTGATGGTCGCCCCTAGCAGCCGCGCTGCTGCTCGGCTGTGCAGGGCTGCTGCTGCTGCTGCTGTCTTGTTGCATCCCCCCTTTGCTTTCAAGACGTCTCTTCTTCGTGGGGCCTGGCCCTTCCCTTTCGCGTGCGTCGTCGTCCGAGTCGTGGAAGACCCATCGCCGATTTTGTCGTGCCTCGCCAGTCCGATGCAGCTCAGACTCAAGGGCTTCCACCCGCTGCACGCAACCATGGATGCATGGATGGCCATGCGACACAGAGGGAGAGGCCGTTTCTGTCTCCATCCACCCTACCTTGTCGTCGACGCTCTTTCGCATGGCCACATAGGCCAGGTTCTGCGTGTCCATCAGCCTCTGCTGGCCCTTGCTTTGCCCGGGACCCGACGGCTTCTGGTACACGCCATCCCGTAAGGACGGACGTACGTACCGCACGGGCCAATCAATCAATCAATCAATCAATCAATCGACACACACGAGGCAAACAAACACACACGGGCGCACACACAAGCACATGGGTGCGTGTGTGTGTGCCGCCTCCCTCTCCCCGCTACGTGCCTTCCTTCACACAGGTCACGTAGTACCTTGGAGGATGCGTTGACCATCTTGAAGTAGAACTCATCGGGGTTGCGGGAGCGGGCCTTCTCCTGAAGAATGCCTGTCAAACCACAACAACAGTACACAAACACCCAACCACAGCGGGAACAGCGCAGTTGACAGCATTCACTCAGCCAGGGTGTGGTGACTTGCTCACTCAGTTGTTTCTCCTTTGCGTGGTAGTTCCTGGCTCTGAGTTTGTAGTCCTTGTGCTTCTCCAGCAGCCCGTACCGCTGCCGGTGCCGCGGCGCGCCTCGCTCAAGATGCACTCGCGACTTGACTGCATGCTTCAAACCTGACGACATGCTACTAACTCGTACGAAAGATACCGGGCGCACCACGCGCGTTCGCCCACGACGAGCAGTTTCACGGAATCAAAGCTCGCAATGATGTTTGTGCATGAATCCATCAACGTTGCTGGTGGAGGCTCTCAACTTGAGCGCATCATCAGGCTGTGTCAAGATCTGTTAAGGAAATGAACTTCACGAAACTGTCCACGAAGGTTTCCACAAGGTAGGCAAGGAGGAAGGAGTCGGCACGGCAGAAACCTGTCTGTCTGTGTGTCTGCTATATATCAGCTTCTTGACGGACCCTTATTCGACGCTGCTGCATTACAAGCGTGCCTACAAGTTGCTGGTGCAGCTGAAGCGGCTCCGCGGGAGCGCCCTGGTGTTGGGCAGCAAGCACCAGTTCCACATAGACTGGAAGAGCCACTTCAGGGGCTTGGAGGTGGAGGGTGGCTCCGGGCGGGTGGACGAGACGGTGCTGGCCAACGCCCCGCTCCATCATCACCTGCTGATCTGCCTGGACATGCCCCTCTACGCCCCCTTTCTCAAGAACACCCATCTGCCTGTCCTGGGCGTCGTCACAGCCAAGGAGCTCCACGACCACCCCGAGATACTCGATGTCCTCGACTACATCCTACCAGCCGCATCCTCCAGGGCTGACGCAGCATTCGCACGACTCCTCAGCAGTACTCAGTCAAGCCAACATGAGACGACGGACACCCAGCGGCCGGATTCTGATCTGTAGGGTGCGCACCGTCAGTCAGTCATTCTTGGGTTTGTCTGTCGACAGACAGACAGACAGACAGACAGACTGGATTGATGTACATACATTTATTACATTACATTAATTACAGTCGCCAGGCAGGTGAGGTGCAGGCAGGCACAGTCACTGTCAGTCAGTCAGCTGGCTTACAGACAGACACCTGGCATGGCAGCATAGGATTCATTTCTCATTCATGTAATTGTGTGGGTGAGAGGAACAGCTCTTCGAGGAACGTGTAGCGCTCCCACGAGCGGGACGTCAAGATCAGGTGGTGCTGCACACAACACACACACCCATCGACCAACCAGGTCGACACGTGGTATGACTGAATACAATGGGTCGACACACAAGGTATGCTTGTGTACTATGGTGCACACCAGGCGGATGATGTTGATGTCCTTGGGCACGGCATGGCACGTGTCGATAACGTCCCTGAACACACAAACACCGCAGCAACAGCGGCAACCACTCACTGCCTGATCTTAATGACACGCACGGGCCCTGCCCTGCGGCGGGAAGCGGAACTATGTTTTTATGTGTCGTGTGTGTCCGTACCTGGTGAGCTTGGCGAGGAACATCTCCTGGAATCACAATGAAATGCAATGCATCAGTTTATCCATTCACAATTCGTTCAGGGTGGCCGGCCTCTCGCTGCATGCACTGCACTCGGCTCACCGCTGCTCGACAAATGAGAAACGACATCTGCCGCAGGAAAGCAAGCCAGAAGCAACCAGTGCGTGTGTGTGGGCGGCCGCAGGCAGAGCACATACTTGCTGACCTCCCTCTTGAAGCATCGTTCCGACGAGTTGGCCATCCGCATCATCTTGCGCACGCGTGTTTCAGGGAAATGGAGGGCTCTCTTGACGGTGCTGGTCGTCTTTGTCTTCTTTGGCTTGACATCTTTCACGCCGCCCTCTGGCGGACCGTCGGAAGCCGCAGACTGGTCAAGCTCATCGCTCATCTTTCTCTTGCCCTTTCCAGACATCTTCACCTCGTCAACAAGCTGCTTTCCCACCCGAACGAACGAACACCCAAGAACCGATCGGCTTCCACTCTGCGAGCTTTGATGAGGTTCCCCAAGTGGCATTTGGAGATGTTTGGCGGCAGCAAGAAGCTGACAGAGGGGGAGGAGCACCTGCGGAAGGCCCAGAAGTACCTCAAGACCAACCCGCTGGTTCTCAAGTTCACGCCCGACTACCTGGCAGCCGGCATGGAGCTGTCCCAGGCGGCCACCTGCTTCGAGGCCGGCGGGTCCTTCCTCAGTGCCATTGATGCGTGGCTGCAGGCCGCAGACACACGAGAGAAGCACCGTGACATCTTTGCTGCTGCACGGGCCTATGAGGCGGCGGCCACTCTGGTGCATCGTGAGCAGAAGGACAGCCGGAGGGCACTGGAGCTCATGAGCAAGGCGGTGGACCGCTTCAAGCTGTCGGGCAAGATGGACGTTGCCTGTCGGCTGCTGCAGAAGATGGCCGGGCTGTACGAGTCGGACCTGCATGACGCCAATGCCGTCGAGAGGGCCTATGACGAGTGCCTGGAGCTCTATGACGACCAGGACAAGCCCTACATGGCCACCGACGTCTTCAAGCTCTACATCAACTTCCTGGCCAAACAACGCCGATACGACAAGCTGGTGGCCGCCATCGAGCAGCACAAGGCGTGTCTGGTGAAGCTGCAGCAGACATCCCTGCTGGCCAAGGAGGTGCTGGGTCAGGTGGTGGTGTATCTGCAGCAGGACGACCCCGTGCGTGCCGACCGTGCCGTCAGTGCCGCTGTGGACCAGGGCGAGGGCAACTTCCTGGCGACCAAGGAGTATGAGCTGGCCACACAGGCCATCGATGCCTACCAGCAGGGGGACGCCGATGCATTCAAAGCCGTCATGTCCAAGCAGACATGGACATTTCTCCCCATAGAGCTGGCCAGGATGGCCGTCGAGCTCAGGAGCCAGGCGGTGGGCGGGGCCATGGCACCTCCAGCCGCTGCGGCACCAGGGGCGGCGGGTGGGGCCGCCCGGCCTGGTGAGCCAGGTCTTACTGAGGAGCAGGAAGGCCTCCCTGATCTTACATGACCTAGCCCTGGCTAGTGCGTGGACCTATCCGTCTCAAGTGAGGAAGGACTCGTTTTGCTTTGATATGAGACAGACCCATCCGGTGCCTCACGGCTTGTTTGTGTGTATGTACGCATGAATGAATGAATGAATGTCTCACACACTCCACCCACCAGCTTAAGCTTGTCCAAGCATACATCCATCTGAATGTACAAGTGTGTATCGTCAGAACTCACTCAATGGATGCGTCGACGACAAGGTCAATCAATGAATCAACCAACTGATATCAGTTGACTGACCGGCCGCTAGGTATCTATCGTCTGGCTGGGCGGCTACACGAACACACGTCCGATGAATCGCTGGTCTGCGTGTCCCTGGTCGTCGGCCGGGGCGATGTGGTGGTGGTCTTGTGCTGTGGTGGCTCCAGTGGTGTGGATGAGGTGCCGCATGGTGGGCCGGCCATGGGGACAGTTCCATGGCTGCTGGAGGGTGGACATGCGGCTCACCAGCTGGGACATCTCATAGACATTCAGACCCTTCCCTATCATCACCGCAGAACGACACGCCCTGACACACAGAAAGGACATCAAGACAACACACAAGACAGACAGACAGACAGACAGACCATCACTCCCTGCTTCTCCACCGTAGTGTGGCTGGCTTGCTGGGGGTCAGTTTGCCCACGTACGTACTTTGATGCCAGCACGTCCCAGACTCGTTTGGGCCGTGGCACACCGGCCAGCAGAGTGCCCCATGTGTCTCGGCTCCCCGCCCCGCCAGTGGGTGCGGTTGTGTCGTTGTGTTTGGGGGGCTTCCACGGGTGTTCGTATAGCTGGTGCACGAGTGCGATGAAGTCCTCCTCGCCCAGGGCCTTGTTGTGTGTGTGTGGGATGGACCGCACCAGCACACGGCGACCAGCCACTTGATCAGGGTCAAAGGACACGCCAAACCCGTTCATCCGGAACACCTCCAGGTGGTCCTCCACCACCTGCAGTGCAGTGCATGACAGGAAACACATCACATCGATGGACAAAGTGGATGAGGGTGGGTCTGGTCCAATTAACGAATGAATGAGGGGTGGGTGGGTGGCTGGGTGGGTGGGGCGGCTAAATGGTGGGTGCATGGCTGGCATGAATGCATTCGATTCGCGTCCGTCCCCCCCACCCACCCACCTGTTCCTGTGCGGGGGTGAGATGAAGCTGCAGTGGGTGGATCAAAGGCTGCGACTGGATGGAGGAATGCTGATTCAGGTGCTCAAACCTGCACATGACAGACAGCATAACAACACGACACAAACCGACCGACGAACGCACAACACAACACGTGGTATCTACAGTATTCATTCATTCATTCATTCATCTCTGTGTGTGGCTCGTCACCCACTCACCTGGCCTTCTCGTCGCTGGCGTGTTGGTCGATGATGAAGAGCGACTGAGTGGTGTCACCCCCCTCCCCCTCCCCCCCGCTGTGGCTGCTGTTGGGCGGCTGGTGGGTGGGGTGGGCATGCGCATGTGTGTGGGCGTCGGGCAGCGATGCGATGATGAAGCCCATGTTGAACTGGCCGCACACCCGCATCTTGGTGAACCAGTCCTTGTCGAACTTGATGGTCGACGACTCCACAGCGGCGATGCTCTGCGGCTCGCATCTAGAGCTCAGCGAGAAGGCAGCAGGGAACGACATCGATGACGCATCAGCTGAACCGCCGTCGTCTTGCGGCTGGATGCCGCCAGGACACGCAGTGGCACCATCGACATGTGTGTCCCCGCCGCACCGTCGACGCCATCTGTCTCTCAGCTGGCTCAAGTCGACGCCCAGGCAGTTCTGGCTGTCGCCATTGGTGGGCGGTCTTGCCTCCACCTCCATTGCGTCGCGTCGCCCGCCGCCGTCGGAACCTTGGCCCTCACCCGCACCTTCATCACCTGCACCGCCCGCCCCCTCGGCAATGGCCATGTCCAGATCGGCATCGCCCTCCACTATCTCTATGTCACCATCCGGGGCCCAGACCCCACGGCCACCCTTACCGCCCCTCTGCTGCTCCAGACCGGCCACAGGCACCTCTTGGCTCCCTGCCTTCCGCCTCTTCCTCCCCATGGCTCCACTAGCACTACTCGTGGCAGCGGCGGGCCCCTCACCCATGTCGATATCAGCATCCTCAATGTAACCACCAACACCAACACCCGCAACAGCAGCTGCTGCTGCCACTGAGGGATGTGGTTTGGGGTGACATGGCACAGTCGGGGAGGGTTCGAATGTGGTGACCTTGACCTGCTGGCCGGAATTTCCAACCACTGTCTTGACACTGCTGGCCCGCAGCTCGTCGCCGTCATCCCCACAACATCCCTCCTCCTTGACCGACACCAACGGCGCTCCCGACTGCTCTCGTGAGCCGCCACCAGAGCTGCTGGGGGCCCACTCAGAGACGCGGAAGCTCCTGGCAGCTGACACGCCGTCCGACGGTGCCTGCAGGGTGAACTCTGTCAGCATGGCATTGCCTCGCTGATGCACTCGCCGCCTCACGGCCAGCGAGGGAGAGGACACACGCACATGGCGCTGGTCATCCCGATCCTCAGACACTTGTGACATTGGTAAGGATGCATCAGCCGCTGATCCACCCACAGGGCGGTCGCCCATCGCCGATGCCGATTGTTGCGGAGCAGATGGGGGACCTCTCCTGCCGTGTCGATTCTCTGACCGTGGGTCTGCCTCGCTGCGCTCCTCCCCGTGGCCCTCTTCCTCCCCCTCCTCCACCTTGACCCGCTTCTGCCACCCCGCTGACTGCATCATGTCGCTGGGTGGCCGTCGCGCAGCACGGGGGGGAGGGGCCTTAGCCGAACGGTCAGACACCCGTGGTGGCGACGGGCCGACATCCTGGTCGCTCTTCTCCTCCTCTGTGGCACTATCGTCCTCTTGGTGCTGACCCGCCTCAGCCCCCATGTCATGAGCCGCCTCACCAGCCACACCCGCGTCCGGCGCTGCTGGTGGTGGCTCCCCCGGCCCCTGTTGCTCCCCCATATTGTGGTCCCCGTCGTCCAGCACCATCGGCTCCTGTTTCTGTGGGGGCAGCGGCCGTTCCTGCCGCGGCTGTTGGCTCTTGAAGTAATCGCGGATGGAGGGTGGTGCCGCGCCGCCGGCCAGACTGCTGGCCTCATATGACGATGCAGACGGCTGCAAGATGCGCTCATACCCGGCCTGTACACAGAACAAACAAGTAGTAGTTGATGGAAAAGATGTCTGTATGTCTGTCTGTCCCGCGAACGAGTGCGTCCCCCGCACGAACCCCCAGCGCATCGGCGATTGCTTGTTCGTTCTGCAGCAGGATGGTCCTCTTGTCTGGCGTCACATTGACATCCACAGCATCTGCACACCACACAGATAGACAGAGCGGGCAGTCAACACAGCATCGCATCTCATCTAGTGAGAGCATCAAGCTTGTCTTGATGTGTACCGTTGTCGATTTGGAAGTCGAGCACGTAGGCGGGCCAGGACTTGCACGTCGACTGGCGGTACACGTCATTCAGACACCTTGGAGAGAGAGAGATAGGTACACACATACAATACACACCATACAGGACAGGACACACACGTACACGGATGGACGGAGGGTGTGTGTGGCGGCTGCAGTGCGGTGCGTGCCATTATGCCCACCAACCCACCTGGCGATTCGTTTGGGGGTGTCTACGGGTCGCCCGTTGACAAAGAAGAACTGTATGTCATGTGTCCGACGACCCTTCTGGGCTGCAGATACCAACCCCACACACCTGGACAGACACCACACGCAGCCATGCACACACGGATCCACAGGCAACTCTCTCTCGCCCGCGCTTGTCTGTCTGCCTGTCTGCCTGCCTGCGTGTGTGTGTGTCTGTGTGTGGCCCTTACTTCCACGGCGGGTGTGCCGTTCTGTTGTTAGTGTGTGATGAGCCCCCCGCCTGGCTGCTGTCGGCTGCCCCACCCCCCGCGTGTGCAATTTCGAAGTCGACAAGGTCGTTGGTGACTTTGTAGCCCAGGACGGTGCTGGCACCACTGCGAAGCGATGAAGACCTGCCCGACGTGGCCAGCAAAGTGCTCGTCTTGCGACGCTCCCTGTGGCAACCAACAACGGGGTGCGTGCGTTGTCTGCTCGGTTGTCGGTAGTGCGTGAGTAGAGTAGGTGGTGTGCGGCCCGGCCATGCCATGGATACCTACCTACCTTGGGGTTTCATTTGTGCATGTGAATCTGCAATTGCCCTGTCGGATGGCGTATGCTTGCAGCAGTGAGAGCATGGCGGCCAGCTGCTGCTTGATGGTCTTCTGGAACTCACGATGGCGCACCGGCAGGCCGTGGAACAGCTGACTCACACACACTGTCGTACCAACCTGACACACACAGTCGGATGGACGCACCCACGGCACGGGTGTCCCGGCCGGCCTGCCGTGTCAGCTGCCTGCCCTCGGTATGTCGACTGACATACATACCTACCTCCCTACTCACCTCTCTAGCTTGTATGGTCTGGTTGATGAGGTTGCAGTCTTTGTCGTATTGCAGCATGACTCCCGTGTTGTCCTCAGCCCGCCTGGTGCACACCCTCAGGTCAGACATGGTGCACAAAGCACTCAACGCCTCACCCTAACACATACAACACAACACGCATCGCATACACACGGGGAGAGGGAGAGGGAGATGGATGGAAGGAGGCACCGCAGGGCACCGCACCCATGGCTGGCTGAGTGACGCACTCACCCTGAACCCGAGAGTGGACAGTTTGGAGTGGATGTCTTCGAACGCGCGGATCTTTGACGTGCTGTGCGGAGCCACTGCACACACACACATCCACACACACACACACGGTGGATTCTGTGAGCATGGCCGCCTTTGGTTGGTTCACCGCACCGATGGATTCATAGTTGTTGGGTGCGATGCCGCAGCCGTTGTCCTTGACCTCTATCGTATCCAAACCGCTGTCCACCAAACGAACCTCTGACAGACAGACGATGCATACGCATGAGTGAATGAATGAACCAACGTGACAAACACAACCACACCAAACACCCATTCATTCATTCATTGACGTCCGTCCGCTACCATGTGGTTACCGATATCTGTGCTGCCAGCATCGAGGCTGTTTTCGACGAGTTCCTTGACGCATCCTTTAAGGTCGATGACTACCTGGTGGCTGCATATCTGGCGGACCGTACTCTTGTCCACACGACGAACCGCACCAGACGCAGACGACATACAGCCACACTCCCCTTTGCTCCTTGTTGTGGCCCCTCTTCTCTAGCTCGCGCTGCCGAACCGGAGGTCGCTGCTGGAGATGTCCGCCCCCCTGAACGCGCTCGCGGAGATCTGCAGCCTTCTTGGCGATGTGATGTTCTTGCTCATGACAGGGCAGAAACGGCCAAGATATGTTTGACTCTGCAGACCACTGCTGCACCCGGGGCGTACAGGCCCCCCTTGTGTGTCCAGCTACACTACGCATGGCTGTCCGTCTGTCTACATGTTTGTCTGTCTGTCTGTCTACACACGTCTGTCTGTCTGTCTGTCTACATTGCTGTCAATCTATGGGCCCGGCCGGCCAGCATGTGGACGGCGCGCGAGGGTGAGTCACTTGTTGAGTATGAGTACGACCGGCACATGGTCGCTGGCGGCCACCTTCTCCCTGCTCATATCAATGCAAACAAACAAAGAATTGTACAGACCAGGCAGACAGGCAGACAGGGAGGGAAAATGCAACTTCAACCCATCACATCATCAGGTCTTGGGTCCGTCCGTCCGTGTCCTGTATGTCCTTGCCTGATGATGACGTCCTGCACTGACGACTCGAACAGCTCCCTCGACACTATCTGGTGATCCAAACGCCACCCTGACACAAACAAGACACACACAAGCTAGACACATATAAATGGCCGTCCGTTGTGTGTGTGTGTATGTATGAGGGTGCGTATGTATGTGGGTGACAGGTTTGTGACTCAAGGTACGTACCTTGGTGTTTCTCTCGTCCCTTGCCGCGAGCACTGAAGTATGAGTAGGCCTTGGTGTCGGGGTACTTCTCCCTGAAGGCATCCACCAGATCAGCCGCCTCCAACGTCTCGGCAAACGAGTCTCTGGCACATCCACCGCACCCACACAGTCATATAATGCAAATGCTCTCGCTGCCCGATCGACCAAGCATGCCATGACACGTGCGCACAATGGGGGGCCTCAGCGCCCCACATACACACCCACATGCATGCATCTAATCTGTCTCTACCGACCGTTCCTGAAGAGTGAATCCCGCGCTTTTCTCGTTGCCCTTGGCCTTCCAGATGTCGATCTCCTCCGGACACACATTCAGATCTCCACACCTGAGGGGATGAATGGATGATACAGACAGACAGGGCAGGGTGGGTGGGTTGGTGCGTGGGACAGGACAGGCAAGGCACACGATGGATGTCATCAGTGGATGGGCGGGCTGAAGTGCAGTGCAGCTGCTGGGCTGGAGATGTCTGACTGGCTGGCTGACTGACCAGATGACGTTTTTGAGGTTTTTGAGGTACTTGCGCAGATCAACGTCCCACTCACGCGTACGGAAATCCAGATTCTGAACACACACACCCACACCCACAGACACACACACAGACACACACAGAGAGAGAGAGAGAAAAGAGAGCGAGTGTGGTGAGTGTGGCGGGCCATGCGCGAGCCACGCGTGGCTGTATCACCTTTGGGAGTTTCTCGTCTGTAGATTTGTCTTTCTCGCCAGCGTTGGGCACATAACACCCGATGATCGTGAAGCCATCGTAATCTACAACACACGCACACACACACAATTTCTTTGGTTTTCAACATCTTGCCGTATCTATCGTATCCTGTGTGGTGTGTGTGGCGTCTGGGTAAGTAAGCTATATACCAACCAACCGACCGAGTTGTATGAATCGGCCGCCCTCCTGGTCGTGCTTGGCGCAGAAGTCAACCTTGACCTGATAGACAGACAGACAGACAACACACCACAACACAACACACCCGACCCGCCAGGTGAGGAGGGAGGGATGCCATGCGCACAGGGAGGAAAGGGGAGGAAAGGTGCGTAGGTACCTCGTTGGGCTCGGCTTCCTCTTTCCAGAATGCGGCGACCCCACTGTACCCCTTCTTGACCTTGCAGAGGTTCCAGTGGCTCTTGTACCCCGGCAACCAACCATCGACCTGATCGGGTCGGGTCAGCACGAGCAAGCATTTCTCCCACCCACTCCCCTGCCAGCTTGCCTGCCTCCCTCCCTCCCTCAGTCCGTCCTGACCATTCATTCATTCGACTAAGTGCCTCACTCACCATGAATTCCTGCATGGCAGTCTGGTCGCCCTTGACCTCACTCAGCACCAGCACGTCGGGCTTCTCTGCATCGATGTACTCGCGGAATATGGGTTTCTTTGCCACCGCACGCAAGCCTACACACACACACAGATACATATATGCAGCCACGCACACGCATGTGCTTTAATGCAACCATCCATCCATCTGCCCGCGTGAGAGTCCCGGTGTGTGTCTGCTGTGTGTCAACTCTAAGTACCGTTGATATTCCAGTTGACAATCTTAAACTTGTCCGGGTGTGCCGCGACGCCCTCGAGCTGGTTGACACCCACGAGGGAGGTGCCGCTGGCCTCCCCACCGCCGTCACCGTCCTCATAGTTGTTATCCTCGTCGGCCTTGGCCTTGGCCTTGGCCTTTTGCTTCTTGCGCTTCGGGGCCGTGGGCTGCGGCTCACCCTCTTCCCCTTCATCTGCCGCCTCCTCCTCCTTCTTGCTCCGCTTCTTGGCCGGCATGGTCGACAGCCGTCGTCCTGCAGCTGCAGCTGGGACGGGAAAAAGGCACGGATGCGGGCCGACTGGCCGTGTCAGTCGGGTGGGACGGCGGACAAGGCGATGGCTCCTCGAAGGGATGAATGCACGACAGGCAACCAGGGGAAGGAGCGCCAGAAGCATACACTGCAGCTGCAGCAGAAAGGCAGCAAAGCGGGAGAGCAGCCATGGGATCTTGCCACAGGGGCGTTCATGCATGTGTGTGTAGCAACCTGACGGATTTGATGGTCACGAGTCACGCTTCGGGCTGGAAGGTCCTTCACGTGAAACGAAACACATTGGGAGCCTTTCCGATGTTGAGGGAGGTGTGGGGTGTCGCATCTCTGCTGGTGATACTATCTGTCGTGGCGTTGCTGTCATGGCATGGTCGGTTTGATAATCGTCCCTTGCTGCGCCGCTTGCAAACATCGCCAACCGACCCTCTATCATGCTTCCAGGGCTGCTCGCAGCACTGCATCAACCACGGAGAACACGGCTTCGAGGACATCCAGGCCCAGGACAAATGCCTTGGGCAGTGCCAAGGTGAACAGCCAAGGAAGACCACGAAGAGCCCATCCCATCATTCCTTTGTCTGCACCATGATTGCATGCGTGTGTGTGTGTGTATGCAGAGCTGATCGGTCGTCACTTTGGTCCGGGTGAGTGTCCGTATGACGCGGCTGGTCACGTGTTGTTTCCCTTGACGACCGCTCCCCCTAAGCCCGGAGTCCCGCCTGCTCACGGGCCGGGGTCCGTACAGCCGCCGGCTGGCGGAGAAGGCGAGAAGGGTGGTGAGAAGAAGAAGAAAGGGCCCGTGTGGGGCGAGCAGGAGATCAAGAAGGGCCTCAAGAGGGCGGGGCGGTTCCTCGCCATCGCATGGCACAGCATAGTGAGGTTCATGACCACATGGCACGGGAAGCCCCTGTGGATCAAGGTGGGCATCCTCGTCGGCCTACTCGTACTACTGCTCGCATGCCTCACATACATACTCGTGGTAACTACGGCACAATGGGTGGTCACTCACAGGCAGACAGCGGGGGGCCACGACCAACGGTGTGGTGTGTGTGTGTGTGTGTGTTGCTGCAGAAGAGGTGCATTCGCGACCGGCCCCAGGAGACCGGGGAGCTCCAGGAGCGCCCCCCTGCGGCAAGCACAGCACGCCAACCATTGATTTGATGAGTGATCTCACCCATTCATTGACGGTGCGTGTGTGTTGTGCACCCGGATCAGGGGAAGTATGCTCAGCTGCAGGAGACGCCAGCCCCGCATGAGCTGGAGCGGACCACCCCGCGTGAAGAGGCCCCGCCAGCCGCCAAGGGTTCCGACTTCGAAGACTGCGTCATGGCTTACTACCGGTACGGTGCGCCCGGTAGCAGCCGGACACACACAGACGTGGAATGGGTGGTCCTCATGTTTGTGTGTATGTCTGTGTATGGTTATGGTTGCATCCGTCCATCCATTTATCAGTTGCGACTGTCTGCCGGCCTGGTGTGTGTACATATGCCCCTGCTTCGTGCGTCGCCGCTCCGGCAGATCCTTCAACAGGCCACCCGCAGAGGGAATGATATACGCCTCCTCCTCCCCATAAACACACACACACAGGCAGACGTCATAGCAGATTTACCTCAGTGGCTGGCTGGCTGTAGGTAGATCACGGCCGTCGCGTTAGAGAGAGATGCGCCCCGCCCCCTCATGCACGCACTCACTGCATTGCAATCAAGGACCGAAGGCGGGACGTGGGGACTGAGGATGGACTGGCTAGGCTAGGGGGCTCTGGCTCGGTGAGGGGCAGGGCATGGATGTCACATATTCGCGGGTTGGGTTCATGTGCGTGCGTGCGCTCGTGTTGCGTTTGCATGCTATGCTATGCTGCCTGCCGTCTGCGTCGCTCACTCCCTCGCTGACCGACTGCCTTGATTTATGTGCGTGGATGTATGTATGTATGTCTGGATGTGCGTTGATGTGTGGTATGGAGGTTTGTACAGACAGAGGACACACATGTGTTTGGCGTGGCCGGCTGGGGGAGGGTGGAAGGTGTGGGTCTGGCTGTCTGTCTGTCTGTGGTATATATATGCACATATATATGATATGGGTGGGGATGGATGGTGGACCTTCACCGACTCTCTCACATTCAAACATTCATGTAAGTTGACTGACTGGTCCACAAGACAGGCACTCAGTCATTCATGACATGATCTGGCTGAGGGTGTGTATAAGTCTGTCTGTCTAACTTGTCATGGCCGTACGAACGAACCGCTGCATGACCTGCCTGCCTGCCCGTCTGCCTGTTTACGGACTTACATGAATCCATCAATCAGCTCTCGTGCAGTCAGCATGCACACGCACACAGACAGACAGACACAGACAGACAGACGTTCCCCCCCCC